AGGCTGAGTGTGACGGGGACGGGCCCATGGGGACCAGTGTCTCCAGAGGCTACGTAGACGGCACAAGCCCATGGGGACATCACGACCCAGAAGTGACGTCTGAGGCGCCTCCATCCCCCAGGCACCTGGGGACCAGTTAGAGCCTGAGCTGGAGGGGCCTGGGATCCAAGGGTCGCGCATGACCAGTGCCTCCTGCTGAGGACGGGAGTGCAGAGACCCGAGGGCCTCAGGGACATTATCCCTGTCCCCACCCGCCCCCTCCTGTTCCCTGACTCCAATACCCAAGGTGAAGGGTTAGAAAGTCACAATAAGCCTCGCTTAGATGTGACCATTAAACAGTCAATTAAGTGACTGAAAAGTAACCAGCTGGTGGTGCCAGAGAGAAATCCCAATAAAACCAGAGCCAACTTCAGATGCCCATCAGCCCTGAGGGTAAACCAACACTCCCCTGGCAGAGTCGGTGAGATCGCCTGATATTGGCCTTTGGGGGTGAGGAGGTCTGTTCTGTTCAACTGTCACTCACATTTTTCCATTTTGGTGCATAATTGTAACAGCTGACACTGGCTGCCAGGGACTGCGCCGAGCATTTGTCCTGGATGAACCTACTTGTCCTAACACACATCTGTGCTGTCCCCTTATTTCCAGACGAGGACACTGAGGCAGAGGGGTCAGCACCTGCTGGGGACCCCACAGCGGGAAGCTCCAGAGCTGAGCTTGAACCCCGGGAGTCTGGCCCTGAAGATGGGCTCTTGCTCACAACCCACTGAGGGAAACGTCCCACATTTGAAAGAGAGACCCCAACGGCCTCCAGATTCTCAACAATGTGTGAAGCTGCCGGTTAGGGCTCTGATCTGGGGGGATGAACCTGCAGAATGATCCTGGAAGAGTTGACTCTAAATGCTCTAATGATCTCTCAGGGGCAAGGTGTGTGCGTGGTGTTCTTAGATCCCCCGTCCCGTCTCTGAGGAAATGTTGGTGATTTCATGCTTCAGGGTTTGCCTGCTTCAAGTGTGTGGACGTCAGTGTGTTTTTGTTGCTGCTACAGTTCCTGTCGCCAAGGGGCCCCTGTTTCTGTTAGGTCCACGGTGACAGGTTTGCAGGAAGGATTGCTGTCCCTGGGCTGATCCTGAATTCAGCTACACCATCAACTTTCATCCATCCTCACTGCGTTTCTCACTAGAGTATCTTAGATTTCTCTGATGTTTGATTAATTATCTATATACTAGTGGTCTGGTGCATGAAATTCGTGCACATTAAAAGGGAATTAATTAAAGGAAATATTTTAATATTGCTATTTGCCCTTTCTCTATAATAGAAGTTTCAGAGGTGAAAGAAAATTAGTAAAATGTATATGAAAATCTCCCTCCTGTAAGAGTCTGGGGCAGGCTGCGGGACCCAGAGTCTAGTCCCCACCCACCAGCGCCTGCCTCGAAATTTCGTGAGACCCAGACCTGGCCAGCCCCACCCTCATCAAGTCCTGCTGGGCAGGTGGCTCAGCCTCAAGTCCCCGAGACTGGCGCCAGTTTCGGGGTGCAGCCTCAGGTCTTCTGTCAAGCCCTGCTGGATGAGGGGGCACAGCCTCAGGGCCGCCATCAAGCCCTGCTGGGGGGGCATAGGTTCAGGTCCCTCATCAAGCACTGCCGGGTGCGGGGAGCCACCTCAGGTCCCCCGTGAAATCCCGCTAGGAGGGGGGAGTGTGGCCTCAATACCCCGGCCTGGCCTCAAGTCCCTCGGCCCCAGCACGAAAGCGCAAGGGTGTGAGCGCATGACAACCATTTGCATATTACCTCTTTATTATACAGGATTATGACCAACTTATTGATGGCTTTTTATATGCTTCCACCCCGGTGTGAAGGGAATGTTTTCAACAAGTTGAGAGCCTCTGTGTTTGCTAGTCTTTACTTCACTGCAGCTTTTAGTTCACAGAAAACTTGACAGAAGGTATCGAGAGCCTGGCTGGGGGATCTCAGTGGTTGAGCATCACTGTGTGAGCTGATGGGTTGCTGGGTCGATTCCTGGTCAGGTCCCACACCAGCTGCCGCCTGAATGCCCGTCCAGCACGTACAGAAGGCTCCCGCTGGGTGCTTCTCACGGCCCTGGTGGGATTAAAACACAAAGAGAAAGTAGAGAGAGGTCCCACCTCCCCCTTCCTTCCGGACACACGGAGCCTCCACGGGTCAGCACCCGGCCCGGTGCTGCCAGGACCCCAGGGTCTCAGGTGCTGGGCCGGGTGTGGTGAGAGGGCGTGTAGGTCACAAGGAACTGCCCAGCTGTCCTGCCGAGTGGCCGTGCTCCCGTGCATCCCTCCAGCAATGGGGACGCGTTACTGCTGCCCCGCACCCCTGCCAGCACGTGGTTTCGGTCAGTGAGCTTCTCCAAACAGAGAAAGAGGAGAAAGGACTGAGCAGGTGGAGGAACGAGGGTGGCATCAGCGAGAGGACGGGATTGAGTCAGAAACCCAGATGCAAGCAGCTGAGCTAGAACGTCAGTGCCAGGTCCCTCCCTTCCGTCTGACAGGTCCCCCCCGCCCGACACCTGTCAGAATCCTGTCTGTGCTGCGTGGTCTCAAGCCCGCTGCCCTGTCACCTGCTTCCCACAGCCTGTCTCCGAGTCGTGCGGCCTCCCTGTGCCCCATGGAGCAGCGGCCCACGGTCGGCACAGGTGGGGGACCAGCCCTGTGGGTGCTTCTCCTGTGGGGCCCGATGACCACAGGGGCCACCTCTGAACCGACAAGTGAAAGCGTCACCAGGACACGTGAGCGTTGATGGATCTGAAGTTGTGTGCATGGCTTTTCCACAGGCACTCGAGTAGGAAGGTGGCAGTGGGAGGGTGGTCCTCCTCTTGGCACTGTTTTCTCTAGGGAAGCAGACACCACGGACTTACTCCCTCCACTGCCCAAAGCAGCCCTGGCACAGCGGGCACCATTTTACCGTGAGGGTGCAGCCCAGCCACACTGAGAGCTCGTTCACTCAGGGTCACGCATCTCCCGCAGGAACATGTGCTGACCCTCTTCTCTGTGCCAGGCCCTGGGCTGAGGGAAGAGCAAAGCGGACCCTGTCCGCACTGAAGGAGCTGAACCCCAGGGGCTCCCCCCACCGACAGGGCGCGCACTGTGACCCTCCCACCTCGGGCGGTGCCGAGGGAGCCGTGCCCGGTGCCAGCAACTCCCGCTCTGACCAAGTGCCCGGCTGTGAAGCTGATGGATGGCATCAGCCATCCGTGAGGAAGGGTGGCTGGAAGCCAGGCCTTGTGACCTGCCCCGTCCCCTGTGGCAGAACCAGCGAGGCTCACTGGGTACAAATAGCCCTGGGCTCCACAGGCTGCTCAGTCCAGCTCCTCAGCGCTCACTGTTTGCTCAGCTGAACGCTCAGCCGCAGGAACCATGAAGCTGGCCCTGTCTCTGCTGCTGGTCACTCTGGCCCTTTGCTGCTCTGATGGTGAGTGTCACGTCCACTCAGACACCATCAGCCGGGAAGGGCCCTTCTCCGGTCCAGGTGACTTACATGGGGAGGGGGGACGGGTCAGAATTAAACCTTTCCCGTGTCCTGTGGACCAGGCTTCAACGCCCAGCACTCGGGGTGTCCGATCCCGGGGCTCTGGAACTTCTACAGAAACCCCCGCAGGCCAGTGTGGGCGGTCCCCTGGGAGGCCCCACTCCCGCCTGGTCTATGTCACAGAAGCAGCAGGACAGAGTCACCTTCTCGTGAGTCAGGGTCCTGCCCCTGCAGCGCTGTGGCCTGGAACACAGGCTGCATCTCCCCAGGCCTCTCCTCCCTGGATCCCAGCACCCAGGAGAGAAGCTGGGGCGATGGCGGAGAGGAGGTGGTCCGAGGCCGCCCTGGTCTCACCGACGTCTCCTCCAGGGTCTCTTAGGTGCCAGGTGAGCCCAAACTGTTGGACTCCTAGGTTCAGACTCAGAGAATGTTCCAGCAGGAGAGGGCTCCACTCAAGAGGAGCAGTGCCGCCTGAGGCTCAGAGTGGCCAGTGTCCACGTGGCTCTGAGACCCAGAGGCGCTCAGGGGCCCGACAGGCCCGCTCCTCCTCCAGGGGCCCAGCCAGGACGTGTAGAGCCAGTGGGAGCGCTAGGGCCGCAACTGCCCTTTTTCCAGGTGAATGTGGCCAGTGGCCAGCAATGCTGGGCGTGTCCTCACGCTCTCGGGGCTGAGCCAAGTCCTTTTGAGTGTCTTCCATCTGACTTTCTGAACCGGCTCCTCTCTCCCCACATGACCTCTGACCTGACCCTCCACCTCCCTGCAGAGGGGCTGTCTCCCAGGTGGGAGGGGCCTGGTGGGCACAGTCCCAGCTGCAGGTGCTGGCAGAGGCCTGAGGGTGGGGATGGAGAATCCAGACCCGGAAGTGGTTCCTGCAGGTCTCAGCACAACCCACTGGGTGGAAAGTCAGCCCAGTCCCTGCGACCCCTCCAGGGGGTTCTGTCCTCAGGGCGGAACCAAAGAGCCAGTCGTGGTCTGAGCCTCAGCGTCAGGTGTGACACTCACAGACTTCCTTGGTTAAGCCTGAGCCCTCTCCGTCCCATGACATGATCCCAGTGTTAGACTGAGCCTCCAAGGGCATCCTCCATCCCTTAGTAGCGTTCCTCCCTCCTCTCTGCATTTACTGCCTCCCTCTGGGCCCTCTGCCAGGACCTGACCCTACCCTTCCCTGGAAAGACTGAGGGCTAACAGCTCCCTCCCCCAGTAGCCAGACAAAGGCAGGTGTGGCTCTGTTGAGGGGCAAAGCTGAGGCTTTGAAATCCAGGGACAGTGACTGGGGCAAAGCAGGGGACTCTTGGGAAGGCCTGGGTGTACTTGACAAAGGGGAAGACTGACCAGCGGTGATCATCTGTGCTCCATCCGGGCTCCGCTGTGTGCTCTGTGACCCGGCGCCAGTGAGGACTTGGGGGAGATGCATTGTCCTGGGCACAAGTATGGGAGGAGACCATAAGCCCCTGGGGTTCCTCTCTAGGTCTGAGGTCAGGGAGCCGTGGGGAAAAGTGACTTTCCTACATCCAATGTGTTTCTTTTTCTTCTCCTCCAGCAAATGCCAAAATCTGTCCAGCCCTTCAAAACGAAGCGAGAAGCTTCCTGTTGGACATTAAACCACTCTATTATCGCGTCCTCAAGTCGTTTCAGGCACCTGAACCCGCCTACGAGTCCACAATGGCTGTGAAGGATTGCATAGATCGGATGTCCTTTAGCGACAGACATAAACTTTTCGAAGTCATGGTAACTCCATTCTCCTTCTGCATAGAGGCTGCTGCTCAGCTGCATGGCCAGGCGGGAGGAGGGTGCTGCTCTGGGGGGCACAGGCGGGGGGCACCAGTCCTTCTGCTCACCTCTGAGAGAGGGGCCCGTGGCCAAGGGTGGATGGTGACCCGACACCCGCTGGGCCAGCCTCAGGCTGCACAGCCTCTGCAGGCCCCTACCTGGGCTCCGGGTTCCCCACGTGTCCTGAGGGGGGACAGCCAGGGCCCAGGCGGTGATGGTGAAGGGCCAGACACTGCTGCCTCCCTGCCTGGGAGCGTTCTGGAGGGCGAGGTCCCTCACTGGATCAGGAGGCACTGTCCCTGGGGAATAATGCCATGGGGTGGGGGTGCGCAGGGGGAGGCAGGGGAGGCAGGGAGATGGCCCTGCCCTGTGAGGAGGGAGCCAGGCGGGGCTCTGGCAGCTTTTGCAGAGCCAGGCCCAGTCCCTGTCCCCTCGCCCCTGTCCCTCCTCAGCCATCAGGCCAGAGGGCAGGGCCCCTCCTAGTCTGTCCTCTGCAGCCACCGGTGGAGCTGACCGCCTCCCTGTCTCTCTGAGGAAATCAGACTTGGGGGGAGGGGGTGTGTCTCAGCTCCTCCGCCCCTGAACCAGGTCGGGCTTTAAGCACCAGTCCCCATGGGCAGGGCCTCAGTGTGGAGATGTCAGTGCGCCACCAGGTTGCATGTCCTGCCGGGGATGCAGATCTCCCCAGGCAGATCCTCCCGTGGCCCCTCCCGCCTGGCCCTCCTCCTGCATCCACTCTGGAGTGAACAGTGCCGTCCTGGGACCTGGGACTCAGAGAAAGCAAATCCCGGGCTCTCGGCCCCCTTGTCCCGCTCCGGCTCCATCAGAAACCCGAGGCCACTCCTGGGTCCTTTGGCATCTGCGTCTGCCTGTGGCCAGGGCTCTTCCCTGATGTGTCTGCTGCTGGGCCTGCACCGGGACCATTGAATCCCCACCTGCACCCTTTCCTCCCCGCCGCCCAGCTGGCCTTTGCTGGTTTCAATGCTTCGCGTCTTGTTTGTGAGCACACGCTGTGCCCGTGGCATCTCCAGGGGCAGCGGGACTGACGGCCCTTTCTCTCTGTGTCTGTTGCAGGAGAATATGGTGGACAAGTGCAGCAAATAGATTCCACAAACTCCACCTACAAGGGCCCCTGCTTTCAACGATGCCCTGATCTTCCCTGGAAAATGTAGAGGTTTCAACGTCTTGCTTCAATAAATCACTTGCCCTGCACGTCCTGCTTGTTTTGTTTTGTCCCAGTCTCTGCCTGAGGGTGGGGGGCATCATGAGGGGGCCTTGGGTGGTGACAACAGTGCATCACGCTGACCCGATGGGCAGTGACATGTCGCCTGAGGGCATGGATCACAGAGGGAACGTTGGCTCAGGGTCCGGCCCGAGTCTCTGCACAGGCCTCCCAGGCCCTGGCCCTGCATGAGCCACGCGGGCTACCGCACCTCCATCCCCGAGGGGCCCCCTCAGCCAGCCGCACACCTGAGCGCTCAGACTCCTTTCCAGTGGCTGCTGCCAGGCCCGCCCTGCACTGTGGTCAGGGGAGTCTGTCCCAGGGGCCAGGACAGGAGGCTGCGGTCTGTCACTCTCTGCCCAGACCCCAGGGTGCGGAGGCCCTGCTGGCTGTGCAAGTCCAGGGGAAGCTCTTCCTGGCGGCTTCCCGCTGGAGGCGGATGGCAGTCCTTGTCTGGCTGCATGGTTTCCAGGGCCCAGGGGAGCTGCCATTGCCCCTCCTTCCTGTGAAACCTCTGCCTCCTCCTCCCCCACATGTGGGATGGCAGAGAGCAGGCCCAGGAAATCCAGGGTTGTCGCCCACACTCAGAATCCGTACCTTTATCACAGCTGCAAAGTCCCCAGAGAGAAGAGAGGGAAGTCCAGGGCTTAGGGCATGGAACGTTTGGGGGCTTATGACCCCACTGCAGCTCATCTGAGTCCTGACACCTGTGAGCCACCTCGTTTCCCTGCACGGCCCCCTCCCTCCTACAGCCTGTCCTTTCCATCTGCACAGCCATCGTCATCGTCCTGCCCTCGTCCCTCCTGGCTTGTGCCCAAGGCTCCTACCCGGTCCCCTGGGGGTAGAGCTGCCCTCCCTGCAATGCGCCTGGGCATCCACACCACAGTGACCTCCCACAGGAAGGGGAACCGGCCCTTCTTCTGCACCTGAGAGCCTAGGCCATGGTCCCCATGTTTCCAGGAAGAGGACGTCTCATTAGTCCTCAGCGTCTCCCATGATGAAGGGCACATGATGCCCACGTGACTGAGAGCGTAGCCGATGGGTGCCCATGTTATCAGTGATGCCCCTCGCGGCCACAGTGAGTGTGTGTGTGTGTCTCATCGGGAAACACGCACACTCAGTTGCCTCTTTTCTGAAGCACAGGATGTGCTCAGTCTGCAGCCTGTGCTCGGTGGACGCAGGATTCTTGAGCTCTTGCCACAGCCTGAGAGACACAGGCTGGGATCCCACCAGGAGGGCCAAGGCCCCCCTGGTGCTGCTCACAGGGCCTTGCACTGAAGCATCCATCTTATATAAAAACTGCTGTTTGAAATTTTAACCCTGCTATTTTGGCTTCTGTAAATACTTGCTTGCTTAAATAATAAGTAAAGTAAGACTACTCCCATTCCAGACAGGCCCTTAACTATGCCCCAGACAGAGTTGGCAGTGCTGACACCAGGCCAGGCCTTGAGATATGGTGTCATGGCCCCTTCCCAGCATGTAGGCCTCCTTTCTCAGAAGGCCCGGAAGTCTCATTCCAAATTTGGGAGACAAAGGACTAGAAAAAGTATAAGTAAAGAGAGTTTCCTCCATGTTTGGTGGCCCAGAATTTGAAAGACACATTTTTTTCTGGACCTGCACAGAATTTAATAATAAAATGTAACTCCCTTTCTCTAAGCGTGGCTTGTTTTTTCTCAGGTCTTCTGGAACATTAATGGTTCCCTGACCGAGAAGAAGGCCAAAGATGCTGGCCTTTTGGCCTCCAGTGAGTGGACCGGGTTTGAGGTCCAGGGGAGCCAGACAGACCTCCGGGAGGCGCCACTCTGCTGATTTAGCAGAATTGAACTGGGTACTCTGGGCACTCCCGGACCTCAGCCCAGGACCCGGCCGGCATCTGGAGACGGTGGACGGACACTTCTGGACCTGTGAACAGAAACTGTAAGGGAGGGGCCCTATCAGTCAAGCCCACTCCCAGTGAGTGGAAGGGGGGCCTGATCACCTCCCTAGAGGTCATGCGACTTCCTCAGGCAAATTAATCAGGAATCAGGTGGACTGTTTAAACTCTGAGTAAACATGTGGTAGAAGTAAAAACTCAGAGTATCTGGTGTATGAATGTAAGTGTGAGAATCTGTGTGAAGTGAAAGCTACTTTGTGCCGTCTGGCTGTACACATGAGAGTATTTTTTTTTTATCTTTCTGTTGTTCAATTTGTTTAAAGATAGGGCAAGCCCCCCTTTAGGGGGAAGACAGTAGAGAACTTTTAATTGATTTTCCCTGATGTGTAATTTGGCTGTGTTAGGTTAAGATTTTAGAAGTCTAATGTTAATTAAAGCTATAAAATTTGTGAAGGTTGCAACCCAGAGAAGTTTAAACAAAGGCTTATTGGGTTAAGATTAGTACATTTTCTCATGGCCTGTGTAGGGTGAGGGAGAGGGACTGCCGGATTTTTATCATGTGGTCCCGAGACCTGTGACCTGCCTGCCCTTCCTGATAGGTGCACAGTGGGTCTCCTTTGGGGACAGCATCCGTTCTGACTGGGGGAGGAAGAGAGCTGAAAACTGCTCGGGAGCGGGTGTGAGATGGGGTGGTGGTGGGATTCGCTAGATAGGGTGATAGGCTCTTAGCCTGCTGAGATGGAGGAGCCCGAGGCTGGGGGATAGGAGGACGGTCAGAGAGATCACAAGTGGTACAGGAGGAGAAGGATTTGAGCATCTGGGGCTTAGAGTAAAGAAGGCAAAATCTAGGAGGGAGAGCAGCTCAGAGTAAATAGTTAATGCAGAAAAGTGGGGGGTGTCGGTGGGGAGAGCAGGGAGAGATAGGCTTTTGTTGATTTTTACTTATCTGAACTATGCTGGACTCAAGGCCGCAAGCTGCTACTAAGCACAAGTTTTTCTCTGCCACATTTTATTCTCTTTAACCCTTCCCATACTAAATTAGACCAATACAATATACTTGAACTTACATAGGAAAAATATAGCAGTTTTTACTAGACAAATTTTAATTTACCTGCTCTAGTAATCTAAGAAATACTGGCTGTTTACTTGTTAGTAATCATTAAAGGATTGATGTTTTTAAGAATATGGAATTACTGAGTAGAAGGTCTGAGGCATGGTTATGCATTTTTAAAGGACATAGAAAGAAGGTTTAAAGGCCAGTTTAGACGTGTAAAATTTCTAAAGGTTGGGTATGTAATAAAAAGGAGAAAAGAAATGTTAAAAGGAAGTTAATCAAATATTACAGGCCAGTAAGCCAGGAAGAGTAAATAATTTACATTCTGCCTCCCTAAACAGAGGGAAGATAGTTATGCCAAAGTACTTAGGGGGGACTGATAAAAGAAATCCAACAGTTACTGTTTTGTTATAACTCTAGAGAGTCCATAAAAAGAACTGGCAAGGAAAGTCAAAAGATCTTAAAGCAGGTCAGTATATTTTTCTCCTTAACAATTTCTCCGAAATTTAGCAATGCTTAATAAATCATGGCAATACATTTCTTTGCATAAATTCAATAAGGCCGGTTTCCAATAGTGGTTTTATTGACCGAAAACTTTGACTGGAGTATCATGTTTTAAAGAGCCCTGTCAGAACTCTTGAAGACTTGAAGCCAATAAGAGTGCCATGGAGAAAGCCTGGTATCCTGCTTGGTAGTCCTGAAAATAGCTGGTGCTGGAGTATCAGGCCCATTCCTACCATCACTGGCGGTTGGTCAGAATAGAAGGGGAGCAATAAGGGCACCTCTGCGTCTCTGCAGAACCCCCACACACTCTGGGCCACGACGAGTAGTAGGGCTGCTGAGAAGGGCCTTAACGCAAGGACAATGGGCCCAGGTAGAGCCACTGCAGGTGAGGAATTCACCTAACTCAGCAGATACTGCAGGCAGGCCTGATGGCAGCTGGATGGCTTGGCTTCCTGTCCCTACAGGGCACATTAACATTCAATCATGAAATTCTGGCAAAGGTAGTCAGTTCCCATTCTTGTTGTGTTTATGCAAACAATCAGGCCAAATTAAATACAGTAAATAAATTAGTCTTTTAATAAACAGAGGGATACTTTTAAGGAGGAAAAACTCTATTTCAATAAAGGTTATTAAAACTGAAATGTTTTCTTTCCCTTCCACCAGACCATTTGTTACAGTTTGTCTCTGCCAGGTCACAAGCCCACCTCCTTCTGTGCCCAGGCCTCATAGTCCCTCTGACAGACAGCAAGGATCTCTTGGCTCTGAGAGCAACCTCTGACCCACCTCAGCAGGAAGTAATTACAGAAGAAATCCAACATCCATTATCCCTAAAAGAATTCAGAGCCAGGATCCTTGAGGTAATATAGTAGGCAGTTAGACAGACATGAGCAGAGCAAGGACGATGGGCCAACTGGCACTACCAGATGTAACTAAGTGTTTCCACCTCTATGTATGTAAGACAAGGGGACTCCCCAGAAGCAAGAGGGAACTAGGCTGTAGATAAAGCCGCTCAGTAGGCCGCCCTAAAACCAATGGGGCCTCTAAAGATTCTAGTGACACTTCCAGACTCTGACCTACTCATCTCACCAGCTTACACGAAAACCCAATCTAGAAAAGCTGAAATCCATAACCAATCTTTACTCGAGTTCTTACAGGCTTCACAGTTCACCCAGAAAGCAGTCCGGAAGCATGTTCGAGATGCTCTGCCTATACCAACTTCTGATCCGGTTAATCCCTTCCAACCTGCTGACTCTATTTGGGTAAAGAAGTTTGCCACCCAAGGACAGACTCCTACCTGGAAAGGATCAGCCCCACGGCAGTCAAGGTCGACAGGATCCTGATGTGGCTTCATCACACCCGGCTTAAGACAGCCCAGGCAAAATAGAGAGTCCAGGACTCTTCGGACCCTCTAAAGATTACTCCTGGCCCTCATTACAGGCAATTATCTTATAAACAGGCCCACTAACTTTTTTTGCAAAGAATTAATTCTATAAAGCTTGTAGTCCTCAGGGGTCAATATAACTCCCTCCAAACAATTACCCAAAAGACTCAATGATTTG